CTTAGGTATTTCCTATAAGAGGATGGACAAGGCTCTACAAAAAGCTGGTTTTCTAAGCTTATTATATGCTGGATTTGGATTGACAGGGTCTAAAGGTTCCCAAATTATTCTTCACTGTTGTCCATGTTGGACTAGTAAGGCACCCTGATCCTCACCCATTATAGGTTATGAACGAAAATGGTTCAATTCGAGTGGAAGTATTTCGTTTGCCATTGCGGAGATTATCACCTCACGAGAGCATATGTACTTTACTTCCTCCTATAAAGGACAGAATTCGGGTATAGAGCTCATGTATGAGATGCATTGTGCCATTGTGTGCAAATATATCTTAATTTATTGAGAGCAATATATACAGAAAAATAAAACATAAGAGGTATAGTAAAAGAAATGTGTGTGAATTTCTTGCTTTTTATTTTTGATTTGTTTTTATTTTTATTTTTTTTTTACTAAAAATGAAAAATAAAAATTTAAGAAATTGATTAAGACTGGTTAAATCAAAATTTGAGGATAACAAGTAGTTAATTTTGGCCTAACTCTCGGAAACAAAAGGTGTCCCCAGCGGAATTACCAAGCTGTCGTAACGATTTTATGTCCGCTCGACGAATTTGGAAACGAAATAAAAAAAATAACGGAGTAACCACTAATCTTTTTTGGCTAGGTGCGATTGGCCACCTACTAAAACATACCCTTTTAATAAAGTTTTAAAATTAATTAAAATTTATTAAAAAGATAATTTTACGGTCTGCGAAACAGTTTGGGTTCGGTAGTCGGTTATGCGTGGGAAAGGATTAGCACCCTCACAGCGTCCATTAAAAAATAGTACCAATTACAACGTGTTATCCTTTGATTTTGATAAAAATAGTCTAATTTTCGGTATTCAAAAAAAATAATTTCCTTGATTTTTATTTATTAGAAAAAAATTATTCTCGAAAAAAATAAATTAAAACTTTTTTATTGAAGTAATTCTTAAAATGTTCCAGTACGTTGGTAACACTAGAAGAATTTTTTTTCACCTAAAGATTTCTTAGGCATCGCTTCTCGGAATACCTTAGATCTCATCCTCGGAGGTTTGAATTTATTTTTCGTAAAAAATTATGTCATGCATGCAATGCAAAATATTACTATGTTTATGCACACATTTTATTCTCCTTTGTTAGAAATTTTATTAATATTCTTATTTAAAATTGAAATTTTGAAGAAAAAAGAATTTAATTATATTGAAGATTTTCTATAAATATTTCAATACGCAGGTAATATTTTACAAAAAATCTTCTCACCTAGAGATTTCTTAAAGCATCTTTACTTGAAATACTTTTAGAATCCCATCATCGGATAAAATTTCTTTTCTTCTCATTTTTATTACTTATATTTTTTATATTATTAATCAATTTTTATTTATTACTTTAAAAAAGAAAATTTTTACTGTATTGAAAATTTTTTTATAAATACTCCAATACATTGGTAGTATTTTTTAAAAAAATCTTCTCACCTAGAGATTTCGTAGGCATCACTACTCAGAATACCTTTGAATCTCATCATTGGATAAAAATTTCCTTTTCCTACATTTTTTATTAGTTTAGTATTATTATTAATTTTATTTTTATATAATTGTTTTTAAAGTTTATTTTAAAAATTAACATAATTACATAAAAGAATTTAACCACAATTTCATCATTTAATCTAACAAATATAGATATTTTAATATGCATAAATATTAATAAAATAATATATAAAAAATAAGAAAAATTTTTAAAAAAATTTTTTTTACCTGAACCGGACCGATCAACGGTTCGGTCAACGTCCAGTTCGATTCGGCGGTTCAGCTCGGTTTGGGTAACTCAGCGATTCAGTACCGATTCAGTTCGGTTTGTTTCGGTTCAGATGGACCGATCAGTGGCTGAAGGAGAAACGGGTTGTCGGGTCGGGTGCGCGGACCCCGGGTCGGGTCGTTAATTGATGCGCGGATCCTCCTTGGCCTAAACGACGTCATTTTAGGCGTTTATTGAAACGACGTCGTTTTGGCTATTGACAGTTTATATAAAAGTTAAAAAAAAAAAATTTTCATTCATTTCCTCCGTTTCTCAGCAAAAAAAAAACCTCTTTTTTTTTTTTCTCTCTTCTTCAGCTGACCTGGGGCCAGTAGCCGTCCATCATGACGGCTGCCGCAGTCCTTGCCTGCGACGAGCTTTGGCCGCCATTGACAGTGTCAAAAAATTTTAAAAATCTTTCACAAACTCTTCTCAACCCTCTGAACGCAGATTTGACCTTCTTTTCACCAAAAGGAGTCTCCACTTCCCTAGATCTACTTTCAAAGTTTCGGTGATGTTATTTTTTTGTGTATTCTAACTCTTTCTCTTTTTATGAAACTGACCCATTTTTTTTTTCTTTGTGTAGGAAGCTCTAGGCGCTGGGTTCCTCCCTACGGGAAGACTGTGTATTTTTTTGTGTTGTTTTTTTTTTTTTGCAGCATCTCCTTCTTTTTCCCTTTTTTCTTTTGGCTTCGCTAGGAGCTCTATTTATAGAGTTCCAGCCATATGTGTTTGGGGGGAAGGGCATAGGGCTCGGCACGGGTGTAAGCACGAGCCCCATGCCTCTTTTATTAGTTTTGGTCATATCCGGCAATTTTATCAACGGAATGAGTAATTAGAGGAGTGGAGGGTAGGGTATAGTGATCAGAAGAGTGCGGTGTAGGGTCTGGTGGGTCTGGTGGCATGGGTGGTGGCAGTGGTGCTGGGGAGGCACCACTGCCATCCTCGATTTTTCTGTTCTGTTTTTTTTTTTTATATATTTCATTCATTTTTTTTATACTTTGTATTATTTTGGTATTTTTTTATTGTATTTCGTATTTATATTTATATGTATTTCGTATTTTTTTGTTGTTGGACAAATTGAGGTCCACATATATAATATGGTATGTTAAATTATATTGGAAATATTGGATATTCCCAAATTATAATTTATTGATATGATTTACATATCAAAGATTTATGGAAATATTGGATATTTCCAAATTATATTTTATTGATATGATATACATACCAAAGATTTATCTTAATTGCAGCATCTTATGTATAAATATTAACCCACACACATCCGTTTTTCCTCACATAAGAGTTAAATCACTTGATCACTCTAGCAACATCAAGAATATGGCATCACCAAAGCTTCAAGTCGTGGCCTTTCTCTTTCTCTTGATTTTCCTCTTTGTCCAACTGGATGGTATTCATTTTCATATCATATATATCTAGCTTTTGTATATTAAGGTTTTTTATTTCTTTTCTGAATTAACATTTTGATGTTTTTGATGCAGGGATTGGTGCATCATCTAGTACTGTTAACTGTGATATAGTAAAGGGCTCGGTATGCAGTGTTGTTTCGGATTGTATTAAGCCATGTGAAAGCATTGGTCATACTGCTTCTTCTGCGAACTGTATCCCTAGCCCTAATTTGGGCGAAAGTCTTACCTGTTGTTGCAGCATTCTGTAATAATCTTATAGTTTTCACTTCTATTGAATAAAGAGCTATTAGATCTTGCTACTTTTTTTTCAGTCTTTATTTTTTGATAATAAGATCATATAGTCTCTGAACTTTTTCAAGATATGCACTTAAGGTGGAGTTTTTATTCGGTTCAAGTACAATATAATATTAATTATATATATATATATTCTAATAGCCTATGTGACAATTTCTAACTTTGATGGTAGAGTTTTAAAATTACATTAACATGATAATTTTTAACTTTAATGGTAAAGTTTTTAAATTTCATTAACAATGTGAGATATATATATATATATATATATAAATATAAAGAGAGAGAGAGAGAGAGAGAGAGAGAGAGAGCTGATATCCAGGCAATAGTCATCTATATGTATCATGTCTTATTTTGTAATCAATGGTAGTGCAAGAGAAATATACCACCACCGCTGCATATACTGAGGAGTGGCAACTGGAATGACCGAAAGATCTAGCTATGGCTATGGCCTATTGCCTGCCATTGCATTGAAGATCCAATTGACTTCCTTGTTAAATGTGGCACTTAGAACTAGGCATCTCCACGGTATAGATAAAGCCGCCCGCCCCTTTCAACCCTCAACTGTGAATGTTAAAGTTTTTCACGTATTAAAGCATTAAACCTTAATATTTTTAAATTTAATAAAAAAAATTTTAAATAATATATTTTTAGCAAAAAATTTTAAATAATATTTTAATTATCCTTGATAACTAAATATAGGTGTCAGTCCTAACTTATATTAATTAATTAGAAATTGAAAAGGAAAAAGGCATTCTTTGCATTTAAATTTAAAATTTAAACACTACTGCAGTTAAAGATATAAAAAGGAGGTTTTCTAGTTTCATTAGATTATGCATGCAGATGTACATGCTTATGTGTTTGCATAAGAAATTATTGTTTTTGTCCCAATTGTGTGTGACTATTTGTTATATTTTGCATGTACGTGTGTGGGAAAGAGATTATATCCAAATCTATTGAAACTCGTAAATGTTAGCTGCAGGCCTTGCTTGAATCTTTCCCCCTCTGCATGCATGTATTTAATTCAAATTAATGCACCGTGAAGGTTCATGGCCGGTAATCTCAACTTCCCGAGCTCCGAAACGGACCATAAATTGTGAAGTCCAAGGCATTTTTCTTTAATGCGCATGAAGGTCAAATTTGATAGACCATACTGATATTAAACACCTCACTTTCATTGATAATATACAACATAGAGGTTGATATTTGAGAAATATATACAGATAAAGCAAAGATAAGGGAAAGATGAAGCAGAAATGAAAGCAAGCAGAGTGGTATTGGTACTGTTAGCTTTGCTTTTGACAACCCAAATTGCAACAGAAGCCAGGACACATAATTCCCATCATAGAGGACAGCAACAAGAACTAAGACGAAGAAGAAGCAGTAGAAGGGGCAGTGGTGGAGGGAGAAGATCAGGAAGAACATCTTCAAACTGTGATCCATTGTTTCAATACTTGTTTGGAACCTGTGGTCAATGGCCTTTCTCAACTTCTCCCTCTCCGGACAACCCTTTTGCGCCTACACCAAGGCCCTCCCCTCGTAGCAGATCACCACCATTGCCGCCGCCTATACCGTCTCCAGCACCACCAATTCTGCAACCTCCTTTATTACCATCCCCTCCTCCATTACTCCCATCACCACCACCCTTACTTCCATCACCGTCCTCACCACCTTTAATCGCTTCCCCACCTCCATCATCTCCACCACCAGTAGTCTCTTCTCCACCACCTTCATCACCACCCCCATCTCCTCCACCATTACCACCACCTCCATCACCATCGCCACCATTTCCGTCACAACCTCCACCATTAGTGCTTTCACCACCACCACCATCAGTCCTACCTCCAACTATACCTTTTGTATTCGCACCACCCCCACTAGTCCCTTCACCACCTTCATCTGATGTTAGTCCCTCACCAATTTTTCCATGGCTATCTCCTCCAGGTATAAACACAGGCACCCCAACCATTCCAGATTTCTCACCACCACCAGACTTTTTCCTTCCACCACCTGAAGGAGACACACCCCCAGATCGTGAGTTGACACCAGCACCACCTCTAGTTCCAATATTTTCTCCACCAGATGAGTTTACACCAACAACGCCACTTCTGCCCATATTTGCTCCACCAACAGAGCCAAATCTGCCACCATTTGAGTTTCAACCAGCACCACCATTTTTGCCCATAACATTTCCACCACCAGCACAAGATTTTCCACCTGTTGTGACTGTACCAGCACTTCTAGTCCCAATATTTTCTTCACCACCTGAGCCTCCACAACTTCCATTACTACCCCCAGAAGAACCCTTTACATTTGCACCACCTATTGAAACAAACCCTGGTGCACCAAATCCTTTTCTGCCACGTCCAGTGATTCCTGCTATCGCTGAGATTTCTCAGCAGTCACTTCCATTTTCATCTACTCCACCAGGGCCAGATACCCGTTAGTCGAGCCAGTGTAGCCAATGTCACCTCTCCAATCTTTTTTACCACCATTCCTGCTTCCTCCTCCATCTGATTCGCCTCCTTTTAAGAGTTAAATTCCTATTTTAACGCATACGGCACTAGAATATTTTCAAAATAATGAAAAGGTAGTTGTTGATGCTTTTCCTTGTTGACATGTAAGGAAGTCTTGTTTAATTTAATTTTATTTGCCTTGAGTCGTTCGTATCATTTTCTCTGTTTCATCATTCATGTTTAATGAATATACTAATAGCTAGACAAGCATGATTGAAAGAAGGAAGATGTTTTTATTTATTTTGAAGCAGCCAAAGACAAATTTGTTTATTTATTTATTTATTAATAAACAGGAAAATTATCGTAAAGGAATCATAGATGGCCGAGTAAAGAGCAAGAAAAAGCTGAATAAGACGTGGAGTGTATCTAATGTAAGAAGGTAGACACAAGCAAAGATAGATTCTTCTATAATGGAAAATTGTGATGTCTAAGGAAATTAAATTCCTTCTTTATACAGGCGACCAAGAAAAAGTCCTCAGTTCCTTGTCTAATAAGGTATTACAATTAAATTACTAATTTTTAAAAAATAATTAATACTTATAAAATTCAAATTTAAGCATTTTAACATCTTTCTTTGATATCATCATTGCCATATATTTTATACAAATATATATTACAATTAAATTACTAATATTTTTGGATATACCAAGATTTTTAGCAATAATTTGTATGAACTAATTCTAGCATTTTAGAAATTTCACTTTACTTGTACTAAAATTTGAATTTGAAAATTTTAAAATAAAATTTCTCCCCTTAAAGGGTAGGTTGGAATTGTTTTCAAATAAAATAAAAAAAGTAGCTAATAGCAATGAACTAACGGATCGATGACCGTTATGGAGCGTAAAAGAAAAAGAAATGAAATACATACCCCACCAATAGCAAATAAAGTTAACAAAAAAAAGGTTTCAAATACGAAATAATCATCAACTGCGTTTTGAAATTCAGAACAAAGCCCAAAAATTTTTGCACTATATGGATCTTTGCCGATGATCTTGCCCGTTATCCAGCTACTTCTATAGTTTACAGTCACTTGTTTCTTCTCTCTTTCTCTGGCCTTGCTTATTCATTTTCTCTACCACTGAAAGAAATCTATAATGGAATTACCAGAGGAATGCTGGGAATCAATTTTCAGTTTCTTAGAACACCATCGCTATTTCGAGCCTCTTTCTTTGGTCTGCAACCGATTTCTTTCCATCACCAATCATCTCCGTCGGACTCTCACAATCACTGACCCAACCCTGGAATCCCTCCCTCGTCTCCTCCTCCGCTTCCCGAACCTAACAACGATCGTTTTCCGTGACTTCCACGGGAATCTCGATTCTGTTCTTTCCCAGATTTCGCAGTCTGGGTTGCCCTTGAAATCCCTCGACGTTTCAAACCAGAAGAGTTTTCCTCTGTTGGGTTTGAAACAGTTGGGTTCCAAGATGAAGAATTTGACGGAATTGAATTGCTCAAACATTGGGTCTTTGAAAGACTCTGATTTGATTGAGATTGGGAATTGTTTCCCTTTTCTTGAAGTGGTGGATATTAGCTACCCTGACCTTGGATCCGGGTTTTCCCCTAACCGATCGGTGGATTCGAAAAGTTTTCCGAGTTTGGTTACCGATTATGGGATCCTTGGTTTGGCCTCAACGCTCAGAAGATTGCGAAAGATTGATCTTTCTGGTAATACCTTTATAACCGATCAAGCTCTTGTTAGTTTGTCGTTGAATTGTTTGTTTCTGAGTGAAATTGGGATTCGTGATTGCGATTTTATTACCCAGAATGGAATTGCTTTGACTATGTGTACAAGTGGTAATTTGAAGTCGATTTTCATGAATGGAATTGGAATTCCATCTATAGATGTATGTTTTAAGGATTCGTTTGCATATGCGAGAAGTTTATGCGAGCTTGATCTCTCCAATTCCTTTATATCTGATGAATTGTTGTGTTCAGTTGCTGAAGCATGCCTTCCATTGCATAAGCTTGTTCTCTCTCGTTGCGTTTGTTTTACATTTGATGGGATTTATCTTCTTTTATCTAAGTACCAGTTTCTTACGTACTTAGATCTTGAAGGAGCAAATTTTCTCAATGATGAGTCCATGTTAGAATTAACAAAGTTTCTTGCTAATTTAACCTTTATAAACCTTAGTCTATGCTCCAAGCTAACGAGTTCAACCTTCTTCAATCTCACAAGGAACTGTCCTTTGCTAAGCACTATCAATATGGAGAGAACAAATCTAGGGGTTGAAGAATTTCCAACTGAAATTGTGGTGAATCCTCGAGTCAAGTCATTACACTTTGCTTGGAATAATAGTTTGAATGATGAATGCATAAAAATGGCAGCACATGTTTGCCCTAATATAGAAGTGCTTGATGTTACCTATTGCTCGGGTATTACAGAAGAAGGCATCTTGGCTGTTTTGAAGAGTTGTTTGCAGATTAGGTGCTTAGAGATTAGTAGATGCGAAGGGGTTAAGAATCTTGAAATCGACTTTGAACTTCCTAAACTAGAAGTTTTAGAGGCAGAGGGGTTGGGAATTACCGATGAAGCATTGACTTTGATTGGGAAGAGTTGTTGTCGGCTATCACATTTGAATTTGGAAGGTTGCTTGAATGTGACTGCAAGAGGAGTTGAAGGTGTGGTTGTAAAATGCAAAGCATTGAAAGAAATGAATTTGAGATGGTGTAATAATGTGAGTGTAGATATTGTAGTTTGGATGGTGCTTTCAAGGCCATCTTTGAGAAAAATTACCCCGCCATGTGGTTCTGTACCTACTGTAAACCAAAGGGAATTTTTCTTGCGCCATGGATGTTTAGTTCGTAAAGGATAGCTTTTCCACAGAAATTAAATATCAATGTGTGCAAGTGCATGTTCTAGTAATTTGTTCTAGGCAACTATAAGTATTTGTTATTAGTTTCAAATCATACACTGTTGTAGCAAATTCAAATACAAGAAGAGTTCAAGAGTGAAGTAGTCTTGTGTGAAAAATAAGAAATGAGTTTGAATAGTAGTGATTTGTAATAGTATGGTGAGTTTCGATAATGAGTTGTAACAGTAAATATCTTTTACCATTCAAAATACTATTGGTACTCTCCATATTCTACAGATTCAGTGTTCTAATTTATTTGTTCCGTTGATTTATTTAGAATGGCGGGTTGGTTGTAATAGATCACTTTACTCTTATTCGAGGGGTCATTTGTTAAGTGTGCTTGATGGCTCAAGTTTTTCTGCACGGGAAATGCATTTGTGAGTTAATTTGCTCTCTTGCAAACATGTGTCTGTTTTCACAATAAATTTTAGTTTGAATTCCATTTTAGTAGCATTGTTGTTCTATACAAATGCTGGTGATTTGCCCATTATTCTCCAAGGCTTAAGGCCCATGACAAAGCCAAGCCTACGAAGCTCATGGTTAAGGGCTCCAAAAAAGACGAGCCACCACTCTTTCCGTGTTACTTAGGTCAGGCTTTGTCTGGTGCCACCTAGAGTTTTCCATTTCTTTTTTGTCATTCTTTTGGTAGCAGAGTGAACTTCTTTTTTTTATTAGTATTATATTTTTAAATGAATGCCAAGTTTATTTTCAATACCAATAACTCCAACATTATCTATGGTAACCGTAAAAGGAATTAGTTATGGCTCGCACCAAGTCTCTGGTTCAAACAGTTACATAGGCACATAATATATATGCATAAATAAACATCTAAAAGTATTTTGATTAGCAACTTTATTTATGATAATCTTGCTGGATATCATCTTCTTCATCAAATGCTTTTTGAAGGCAATGGAACATGCTTGCAATATTCAGCCAGGGCCCAGGTTGTGATACTTTTCCTATATGATGCGTAGTGTTGTATGCAATTCCTCATGAAAACTCCCGTCATTTCCTGCCGCAAAGAAGTATCAAAATTTGCAAGTAGACATTTGTAACTATCATAGTTCATGGATTTTAGGCCAAAAGTCCCTTTTTTTGTCGGTTTTTTCGTGACTGTGTATTTTGTGAGTTTTTCCTCTAATTGGTGTCTTTTCATTGTCAACCTCTTCTGGTAGAAATTCATCAGTGAATCAGATCTCTAAAGAAGCTTATCTTGAGATCTTGAAAAAATGACTACATTTGGCATTTAAAGGTCAAGGGATAACAAACTTTTGTGTATGTGCTTCATTCCTTTACAAGTTGCTAAAATTCTCATGCATGCAACACTACTGCATTCAAAGTTCAAACATCTCTCCCTTTAAAAAAATGATAACTGTCTTTAATCCTCTATTTTCTAAGTTACCTGTTGGGGAAAATCACCATCTGGTAGTTGAGAATTGATCAAAAGCTTTGCAGCACGATGTAGGGGATTAGAATCTCGTTTTGCCTATTATAATTAAATGGTAAGAATAATTTATTTAACAAGACTGACTTAAGAGATATTTAGCTAGTATTTGTTAAATAAAAGTAACCTGTCCTCCGTGAATTAAACCCATCAAGGTCATTGCAGTTTGCACCAAATTTGACCTCTTTCCTTCGAGAGGTGTATATACCTGCGAGTTGAAGAAAACTTGAATTTTAATTTGAAAGTCGTTGATTTGAATCTCTACGGAAAGATGGGATTTTAAAACAGGAAGGCTAATTTTATCTAGAACCCTAGTTCAATAAGTTTGAATTTCCATTTTTCATGGATTAATTCAAGAGATCAAGGCTACTTCAAATTTTTTTTTAATATATAAAGGAAGGTTCAGCAATAAAAAAGGAACTATAAATGTTGGAATTTAAACTCCAAATTTAATAGACGCAACCTCTTAGCATAAACTAACTAAATTATGATCCAGGTTCCACTTCCACCTCTTTATACTTACATAATTTGGGAAACAATGAGGTGAATGGTTGGAGTTGGACCATTAATATACAGCGAGTACTATTTGTCAAGAAAAACTTGACATAGAGAAACATGATTCATATAAGCAAAAATGATTACCTTGTTTGGACAGGAAAGATAGCTCTCTCCCCAAGCCCCATCATCTGTTTGTGTTTCAAGTAGAAAATCGAGTCCTTTACGCACGGCCAGACAATTGTTGTAACTCTTGCCAGCAGCAGCTAAACCACCGAGTGCAAACCATGTTGCATAAATGAAGCAAACACCCCAACCACCGTACCTGAATGTAATTGATTAGTTTTAATATCCTGCATTTCTGAATGAATTAACCGAATAATATTTCTATGAGCGAACATGCCATGAACCATCAGGCTTTTGTGTGTTTTCAAGGTACTGAACAGCTTTGCTGATGCATTTCTCAATCTCTATTTTCCGGTGACCAGGGTAAGACTCCATAAAAAGAACTAGTGCATGGATTGCGGACGCCGTGCACTCCACGTACCTGGATCAATCCATAATCCTTTATTAGTCAACTAGGGTATTGGTATACAAATTAAGGGCTGAATACTGCTGTGCGATATATAACTGCTATGAAGTCCGAAAAGCAGGAGACTAAAATTGAGCCAATGGATAATCCTTTGGATCATTTTTGGTCTCCTTCATTGATGACAAAATTAGCATTTCTCACAGAGTTACAAATAGAAGTTATGGCCCTTACTCATGCTCAATGACATTGTCCTCAAGAAACTCCACAGGATTGAGCCACTGAGGAGCATAACCAAAAAAAAAAAGAAAAGAAAGAATGTACTGGTCAAAAATGTCTCCATTGGCGCACAGTGGAAGCAAGCTAAAAACATATATATTTTAATATTGTGATAAATTGGAAAATATATGCTGGAATATATAGCTACCTCCATCCATAACCCAGCTTTTGCTGGCTCCCATCCCGTGAAGCCACCATTTTCACTCTGCAATAATTTTATCAGGCTGTTACAGATTGAAATCAAGATATGTAGTCGTACAAGTCAAAGCTTTTGGGAAATTAATTTGGAATACCATTTATCATTTTCTGCCATTCAAGTTACTATTGGAAATTGTAAGTACATTTTCCAAGTAAAGCAGAATCCAAAGGCACAATTACCCGTAATGATAATACAACATTGACAGCATTATAGAATTTCTCTGGTTCCATTTTCTCACCAACTATTTCCGGTCGCATCTTAGAGAAATATAGGCAACACTGTAGAACAATAAATACCTGTTGTTAGGAGTGTTGGCACTGAATGTTGGCCTAGAAATTACTTAATCAGAGTTTTTTTTTTTCTTTGATAAAATAAACCCCACCAGCTTATCCAAGAAATTCAATTCTGAGACTCACAAGTTGAAGTTCAGATTTTAAATCCTTTGAACCTATATGGAGATAAAGTTTAGCATTGTATTTGACCAAAATCAATTACCTTCAAACTTTCTGCAGTGCAATCAGAAACTTGCCATCCATGATCTTGATCAGAAAAGGTCCATCATCCTTTAGAAATGTGTCTGAACATTCGTTTAAAGTCACCAGGAGGATTATCCTTGACCTTCAGATTTTAAGTGGTACAGAATGATCAAGCAAAAGAATTTCACAAACACCATAACCATTATGAGAATGCTTTTAATTAGGACATGAATTGGAACCTGAGAATGCTTCAGGAAGTAGTGTCCTTTCATAAGTGTAGGTCCAATTTCGTTAGTAAGATCACTGGCAAGCAAAAGGTTGAATAGCAAAAGCAGAATCCCAAACTTGACTTCCAAAACCCTGCATGTATATAACAGATACCAAATTCTAGAACCAAAACTTACGTTGTCGGGTTTCAAGCTAAGTTATGAAGTTAATTAAGTTTAAATTAATAAATTTACAGAATCACATTCAAGACAATGCATTGTTATTTAAAATTACCGACTTTAGTAAGATTGATTATGCATGTTTCAGCTAGAGAATACGATGGATAAAATTTTCACCAACCTGCATCTTCATTCCATCTTCTGCAACCCATAAGTAGTCAGCAATCCTAGCAAGGTGCTTTTTAAAATAATCCCCGGTGGGATCTTCGACCCAACAAGCAAGCATGAATAAAGGCTGCTTAATCCAAGTTCCAATTAGCATATGAGGGTTGAAATAGTCATTACATCACAAATAAATATTATCTAAAAAATTTCCATATCCAATTAGATTACCTTTTCCACACATCCAATGGTAATGTATCTGCTGCATTCATCTTCATAATGAATATGGTCCATTGTTATTTGGAGAGCCTTTTCTCTCAACTTGTTAAGGGGCCATCGAGAAACGAGAGGCTCTGTAAATGTGTAAAGGCTGTCCCATAGTAACGTTTGTATCAAAGTATGGGGATAGTAAAGATCCTCCTGCGATAAAAAGTTTCATTACTCAGATCATCCAAATGCGTGTATTTCTTGAGGAAATAATGTGATTTTGTATGATGTACTTATGAATTCTTTGGTGTATAGCAAATCTTGTGGACAAACCTTTGCACATAAATGGCGCTTTTGGCTCCAATTAATTTGATGATATGATTCAATATGGAGTTCTTCTCTCAATTGTAGGATGAGAGGTGTGATTGGACCAACAAATTTTTTCCCATATAAATACGACATAGGCAAGTAAGTCACGCGACAGTAACACAACAATTTTGCTGCATCAATCCAAGAATAGGGTAATTAATTAATTAAAATGCAATCAGATTTTAATATCAAGGTGTGAAACTCATGCACTTATTTAAAACTAGTTGAGCAGAAATCAATTAAAAACCCAATAATTTAATATCATATCGAAAATTTTGCGAACCTGGACTAACGGGGAAATAAGAAGGAAGGACCCAAAACTCTGGGGGCATGGGATGGCAGCCAGACCACTCAAACAGACCAAGGATCTTCAACAAAGAATAATCATTTGAAACAAAATTTAGTTAATTCTGGTTCTCTAGAAACAATGTTCGAGAACAACATTTAGTACCTGTAGTAAATATGACAAATATATACCGATAGCCATGTTTTTCCCCAAGATGGTATGGTTGTTACACCACCACGGTCAAGAATCCATTTTCTTGCTCTCTCACAAGCATTGTCTTGGCCACCATCAGGCCCTTCCCCAAGCAAACGCATGCAAATGTAGCTGAGAGCAGTGCTAAACATGATGCTGTGACCCTCTATGTGTAATCCCCACCCACCATCTTCATTCTATGGTATAGATAACATATATACATTAATGTATATATTTGAAATGGATGATTAAGTTAATTTAAGCAAGATCATGTTTTCAATAAAACTAACAAAGCAGTCATTCATGCACCTGATGACAGTATATGTAACGGAGAATTTCTCTCCGATGCTCTGCTGAGAATACAGTGTTAAGATGCCCTGTAATGTACAAAGCCATGGCCTGCAATTTTGTTTCACTTTCATCTTAATTAGAAAGAGTCAATTACGTACAACTGCATTTTTAATGTATAGCTTATATTATATGAAAATTGTTAATTCTATCCATCTCAAAAAAAAGAACGTTGGACCAGTATTCTCAGCAGAGGAAAAAAGAAGTAATTAGTCACCAAAGGAGGAAAAAAGAACATTGGACCAGCATTCTCAGCAGGCCAGTGGCCATCACTTGCTTGCAGGGCTGACAACAGGTGAACACTTCTCCTTAATGCGGCTGTAGCTGTTTCACGTGTGATTTCCTCACCATCCTTAATCTTTACTTGGGGTATTGTTTGTTTGAAGTTTTTCTCTTTTATGGCCTGCAATCATTAGACGAAATTATATAAATAATAAAATTTACATATTTTATATATATCCAGGTCGGCGGGACAGTATCACTTAAAATCTGACTCTAACTCAACCATACGTCAGAATAACTTGTAACACATGCCACAATAAAATAGAGAAAAAGATGTCCTTTTTGTTAATGTTTGCTTCGAATTTTTTAATTCCATACATAAAGTTGAGTAAAATTAAAAGAGTTGAAAGTTTATATTGTATACTATATCGAGAGTTTAGTAAATGTATAAAGGATTTTACTCTTATAAATAAGATGTGTTAGTTTTCATTCAATAATTTTAGATAGTTAGACACCAAAAAAATAACTATATGAATAAACTATTAAAGGGTGTAATTAGGTTTTAAGTAAGAGTTGAATAAAAAGTTTTTAGTAACTTTTTTCATTCCAAAAATCTCACAGTTGTAAAACTTTATTTGTTAGTGGATTGAGTTTGGAGTAGGTCATTTTGTGTTGGACCGAAACAAATATATTTATATGTTCTTATTCTTGTTTTAAACTTGATATTTTGTGTGTGAGTGCTATGCACGTAATGATTTTCAGACAAGTGGTATTAGAGCGAGATTCAAGACGTGAGAAAAGATAAGTTTAAGAAATCGTGAAGACAGTGCAAATATTTTAAAATGTTTACATAAAGTATGTGTAGTATGACTATGTCTAAATTTGATATTCCTTTATTTGATGAAAAAAATAATTTTATGTTATGGCAAAATATGATTTAAAATATGTTAGTAAAATAAGGTTAGATCATGCATTAGAGAGTAGTAAGCCTAAGGAAATGTCTAACAGTAATTGGAGTGGAATTTATAAGAAAACTGTTAATACTTGCACTAGCCCCAAAGATAAAAGTGTAATATGTTGATTGAAAGTACTCCGAAGAGTTTGTGGGATAAGTTTGAGGGTATTTATACATCAAAGTCGTTGACAAACAAATTATGTTTGAAGATAGATCTATATTCTCTAAAAATGAAAGAAAGTACAAGTTTTCGTAATCACCTAAATGAGTTTAATATGTTAGTTTCTCAATTATTGGCTATTTTTGTTGATGAGTTAGAAGATGAAGACAAGGCTTTAATTTTGTTGTTATCTTTGCCTATGTCCTAGAGACTTTTAATTCAGACTTTGTTAATGGCCAAGTTTACTTTGAAATTGGATGATGTGATTCCTCTATTGCATGAGAACGAAAGGAAACTCATCACTTTAAGGGAAAGCATTAGTTGTAAAGGGTTTTGATCGAATAAGGACTTAAGAAAGGGTTGATGGATGAAGAGATTGAGGGAGGACTCAAAAGAAGATTGATGGATCAAGAAGGAGATCCAAGTTAAGAGACAAATTACAGTGATATAGAATGTTATTATTGTGATGAAAAGAAACATAACCAAATATGTTGCAAGAAGTTGAAAAGGGATATAGCTGCTTTCAAAAGAGCGAATGACGAGAAAAAATTGAATGAAAGAAAGAGTGATACTGCTACTATTGTTTCTGATGATGATGAAGTCCTTTTAACGACTTGTGTGGATCAGACTCAAACTTTGAAAGGTGATAAAAGTTAGGTTTTGGATTTAGTTGCTATAGTCCATGTCTATAATGATAAGAGTTGCTTTATGGAATTAGAAAAGAATGAGAAGTATAGGTATATTATGGTTACCAATAATGAAAATGTATAAATTCAAGGCATTGGGAGTGTTTATCTTAATGGTGTTGTTAGGACTCTTCGTCATGTAAGGTATGTACTGAGTTACAACTATAATTTGATTACTTTGGGTGAACTAGCTTCTTGTGGATATACATACTATCGACAAAATAATTGATGTAAAGTGTACAAGAATAGTAATGTGATTCTACAAGGGAATATGATTAAAAATTACTTGTACATGCTTGATAGAGGCTCAGTTGTTGGGATTTTTATGACGAAAGAAAAGAAAAAGGGTAGGTATGTCAACTTTGCAAATACTATTAAAGTATTTGAAGATTCAAGTTAATGAAGGATTTGTTGCGATTTGCCTTGAATCTCTTAATCCCACATCGAAAGTTGAGTAAAGTTATAAAAGTTGAGAGTTTGTTTTATATCCCACATCAGGAGTTTAGTAAAAATATAAGAGATTTCACCTTTATAAATAAGATACTTTATAGTTTAGTAATCTCAGATAGTTAGACACCAAAAGAATAACTAAATGAGTAGATTATTAAAAGAATGTAATTAGATTTTCGATTAAGTTTTGAATATGAAGTTTTTAGTGATTATTCTCATTTTAAAAGCTTCATAGTTATAAAGATTTATTTGGTAATAAATTAGGTTTGAAATAGATCATTTTGTGTACGGCCAACACAAATATATTTATTTGTTTTTATTCTTGCTTTGAACTTACTATTTTATGTCTGTGTGCTACGCGTACATGTTGATTTCCCAACACTTTTTTTCTTATTTCTGTTCTTTTTGTTTTCCTTCTATCAATTACATGTTATAATAACTAGTAAAACATGTCAATTATCACTCATATCTCATTCAATTAAATTAGCGATTACTTAGTTTAATATGTATCTATTAATTTTAACATAACATGTAGTACAGTATCACATTAAAATTTTCTTATTGTAATCATTTTTTACCATTCATGAAATTGTTGCACCAATTTTATCCTTTTTTTTGCCTTATATATTTTCTCCTCGATGATTATTAATTTGATTTTTTCCTCATATTTTGTAATCCACACTTTTCTCTCCAAACTTTGTATCTAATTTTCTTCTAAATCACCCATTACCTTTTTTTTTTTTTTAAGAAATCATCTATTATTTCTACAAATGTTTGTTAGATACATCTCTTTCCATCATGATCACTGGGTATTTAATTATCCTCTTGCTTTTTTTTCACAAAAAGTCTCACTCTGATAATAAAAAAAAAAATTATAAGTGTTAAAATTCAAATTCAGATCTATTAAATATTATCTTTTAAAAACAATTATATGAACCAAAAAAATTAAATTTCATATTTATCCTCCTTAACTCTTCCGTGAATCCTATTTAACTCTATTTGGTTTTAGGATGAAGGGACTAATATCTTATTAATATTTCAACCATAATCATAAATTTAAATCACTATAATTAATACCACACTTAAAATTTTTAATGCACTAATTAAAAAACAATAATAACACAAAGATGCAACCAATATATTTGTTTCTATAGACACCGATTTTGTCCTAGTCTACTGTTTCCATTTTAGTTTAATATTAATAATTATAATAATAATAATAATAATAATAAATATATTTTTTTTAAAATAATAATTATTAATTTTATAAAAAAATAAAAAAATAATAAAAAAACAAAAAAAAAGAAACAAAAAATGGCAAAAAAACAGGGCGACTGATGCCTGGCACCAGCCACCCTGCAGCCACCACTAGCTGCCCACGCTCACCAGCCTACAGCTACCCTATAGCCACCACCTGTTCCCCTTTAGAACTTCTTAAAAATCCCCCATTTTCGAAGGCTCGGTCGAACCCTTCTTTTTCGAAAACTCTTAGACGAGGAACAGACCCTTTTCGAAAAGCTTTCGAACAGACCCTTGAAACCTCCAAGCCTTTTCCTTCAACAATCCCAAACACCACACCAAACCCATACCCAAATAGAAACCCAAAAATAAAAACAAAAAAACAGAGACAAACAGTCCTCTCCGCAGAGAGGAACTCAGCGCCAAAGTTACTTGCGAAAGCAAAAAAAATCACGTCAATCTTGTTTCAACAAAACAAAAAAAAAAAAAGAGAAACAGAAACTTTGAGCCTCGATCTACGCTAATCGAGGTTATTTTCGATAAAAAGAAGGTCAGAACTAGGAATAGCACATTTAAAAGCGCTTCTGAGAGTATTTTGATAATTTTTTATCATCGACGACCACCGGCAGCAATCGCTGACAGTGACCCAGACGGCGGCCGACGGTGGTTCGACGACTGGATGGTGAAAGAGCTATAAAGCTCTCCTCAGAGCTCTAAAGCTCTCCTCAGAGCTTTCTCTTATTTTTTTTGAAACAAAAATAGAATGAAAAAAAAATTCAGTTATATATAAAAGACTAAGAAGCAAAACGACATCGTTTTAGGTCAAGGAGGATTCGCGCATTGACTCGAGTTTGACTCGAGATTCACGCAACTTGACCTATGGACCCGTTCTTTCAATAGCTGCTGATTGGTCCAATTGAACCGGTTTGATCCGGATCGAACTGTAGATCGCTAGCCCGAACCATTGACTGAACCGCAGAATCGATCAGACCGATCCAAACCAAAGTTGACCAGACATTGGAGGAACAATACCTAAACCTGAAAATGCTCCAGAATCTTTTCGATTGCTCGTCCGAGAATTACGATCTTTGGCTCTGGAACTGAATCATTTCCTTGTATCTGAGAAGAACTTCCAGATTAATAGGAAGGAAGCTTAATCGGAATGAATCAGAATTTGTCTTCTATGATCGACCGATATAAACATCAACAACTCCGAATTGGCTCAGTTTCTCCCCAACAAATAAGTGCTTGGGCCAATAAAATCCTACCTAATGGAGAAACCGTTGGAGAGGTGACAAAACCCTATACTTTTCATTACAAAACCAATAAACCGGAAAAGGATGGATTATTTTGTGAAAGAATTTTTGGACCTATAAAAAGTGGAATTTGCGCTTGTGGAAATTATCGAGTAATTGGAAATGAAAAGCAGGGCCCTAAATTTTGTGAACAATGCGGAGTTGAATTTGTTGATTATCGGATACGAAGATATCAAATGGGATACATAAAACTGGCATGTCCAGTAACTCATGTATGGTATTTGAAACGTCGTCCTAGTTATATCGCCAATCTTTTAGACCGTTGACCGGTCCGATTCAAGTAAAAAAAACTTTTTTTTTGAAATTTTAAAATTTTTTTATATTGTTATTTTTGTTATTTTGAGTTTTTTTTCATTTATTCTTGCATGATAAATTTTTAAATTTGTTAGAATAAATGTCTCATTATTTTAATAATAAAAATGAAAACGACTAAAAATATATATTCAAAATATTCAAAAAATAATTATTATTATTATTATTATTATTTTTCTTACCTAGATGTTGGAAGGAATAAAAAATATTTTTTTAAAAAAATAATTTCGCCTAGATGTTGAAAAATTATTATTAATAAATTTTCAAAAAATATATATATAAGAAATTTTTAATTAATTTTCAAAAATCACTAAAATCGAACTTGCTTCGAAAATCCACTTAGAGATTGTAGATTTTTAGAGATGTTCGTATTTTCTTAAAAACAAAACCTTAAACACTATTTTTAATTTGCAAAATCCTAGGTTTGTAAAATCCCCTAAAATCCAAAATCCTAAAATCTGAAACCCCTAAAAATCTAAAATCCCTTAAATCCGAAACCCTTAAAATCCAAACCCCAAAAACCAAAATCCCTAAAATCCAAACCCTTAAATCAAAACCCCAAATCCCAAAACCCAAACCCTAAAGTCTTCAAACTCTAAAATCAAAACCCTAAACCTTTCATATCCTAAATTTCAAGCCTTAAAACTTTCTAAACCTTAAAACCAAACCTTTAAAATCTCTACTCAAGCCCTTACTCAAAACCTTTTAAAAATCTTGAAGACACGTGTGAAAATCTCATTTAAAGTAATTTATTCTCGAATGCAGCTTAAATAATGGGGTATTTAGGAAACTTTACTTCGTTAAGTCTTTTCATACGATTTCGTAATTCGCATTGATAATAAGATTAATGAATAAAAAGTATAACAGTAAATTGGGATATTAAATATAAACAGTCGCACTTAAGTTCTGCCTAAATGTTGGAGAGTCGAGGTGGCCTCATTATACTTAAGAATCCAACTTTTAAATTGCATTTCATCATACATAACATTCATTGGCATACATACGTTAGTATGTTATTATCAGTAATTATTTGCACTATTTTGTCTTTAATTTTTATTTACTACTTGGTGATAAAATATTTTATAATAAAAAAAATAATACTTTTTTTAAAAAATTGTGATATTACAAAATAAAAAAAATAACATTTCGAAAGAAATAATTCTTGATACTCTGTCTAGATGTTGGAGAGTCACCAATAATTTTTTATAAAAAGTGTTATTTCATTTTAAGGATTGTTGTATTAGATCTTAAGCAAAAAAAGTTATTTTAAATTCTGCCTAGATGTTGGAGAATTTTAAGATAATTCTTTAACTTAAAGATTTTCTCAATATTTCTAAATAAAAATTTTAGCAAAAATATTTTTTAAAACGAAGGGAATTAGTATTAAATTTCAAGTCAAAATCATTTTTATTCAATACCGAAAATAGCGCATAATTAAATGATACTAATTTAAGGGCATTGTGAGGGTGCTAATCCTTCCTCACACGTAACCGATTCCCGAACCAACCTGATTTTTTGTAAACCAAAATTTATCTTTTTGATAAACTTTAAACATGCTTTTATAGTTTTATTAAAAAGATAAACTTTTGGGTGGTCAATCACATCCTAACAAAGATTAGTGATGACTATTTTTTATTTTTTTCGATTTTAAAATACATTACGTCTGACGATCTCAAAATCATTATGACAGTTTCTATAATATTACTATAACATATATTTTGAAGTTCAAAAAGCTGAATTGGAATCTTTCCATCCTTAATATCAAAAAATAATAACTTAAATGTAGCTGTATCGCTTTTTTTTTTTTAATGGTAGTAGCATTAGTGCACGGTAAACCAATCGAATTTCTTAAAATAGAAAGAAAGCCAAAAAATAAAAATGGATCCAAAACGAACGAAATATCATATTTAAAACTTGAATTAATATTTTTTTTATATTTAAAATATCAAAATTTAAATCATGATCAATGAAACTAATCCAACACTTTATTAATAAGCTACGTGACTAAATATTGACAATTTGAGCTAATATTTTTGGCATTTTGTTACAAAACTATCCAATATCCCAAAATTTGTACTTCATTGTGAGTGAAAGAAAGTTTGATTAAGTAGTAGTACTTCAGTAACTCTTAACAAAATCAAATAGAAAATGGATCAATATTACTAGTTAGTTTCGAGTTAAGACTGTAGCAAGAATTTTTTATACTATAAAAATTCTAATTATAATAAAATAAAAATTTATAACTTTTATTTCATGCAATAAAATATTATAAACATATTTCTATTTTTTAATAAAATTTTAAGACTTATTTAGTAGATATTATTTTAAAAGAATATGGAGAACAATATATATATATATATATATATATATATAATCCTTAACGTTATTTTTTGGTTCTCAAAAATTATCAGTTCGATGGCATTTAAAGTATACCATATTTTTAGTGTTTTCTTGCCTAGATTAGTTTGATGGCAGGATTATTCTACTCCCTTTGTACAAAAGAAAAAAAAAATTATACCTGCATTTGCCAGAAGAGATCAGAACTGGCCTGGACGTGGTTTCGATTGTTGTAGAAATTTTGGCGAGCTTCTTCAACCTCAGCTCGCTCTTCAGGGGTGCCTGCATTAGGATCAAACTCCCATGTCCGTCTTCCCAAGAAATTGTTAGTGCTGCAAAGGTACGGGTCAGTGCCTCCTTCTCCTATCTTCAGCCTCCACATTCTCCCAAAGGCCTTTCTTTTTCTTTCTCTTGGCAGAGGGATGTGGGGTTAAGAACTGAGCTTATCAAAGTAAATTTTGTAGTTGATATAGTTGAACAAGAAAGAAGAACAATGGCAAAGTACTTTAGGCTATGTCTTTGGTGAACGAAACCTCGAACTTAAATAGATTTGACGATACCGTCTTTCGCATTTGATGTTTATTCGGTCAATTTTGATGAATGTCCAATTAAATTATTTTATCTTATTTTTATTAATAGAATAGAATTTATTAATTTTAAAAATTCAGTTAACCAAAATTATTTGATTAATTTTTAATTAATCAAATAAAAAATTATTAGAATTAAGTTATAATTTAAACTCTTAATATCTTATATTTGAAACCAAATAAATAAAATTATCTAATAAAATATTTAAAGATTAAAGTATTAAATTAATAACTCTAACAACTTATCAATGAAATGGTCCTATTTTCAATTTTATATTTTAATTAATTTGATTAATTCAGTTTTTAAGCTAAATTAACTAAAAATAAAAAAAATTATAATCATTTGAAATTAATTTTATAATTAATTAATTAATTGAATTAAATTAATTCAATCATTAATTTAGTTAAAACTAAATTTAAATACCTTTATTGACATCATCATCCTTAAATGAAGATGAAACAAAAAAAAAAAAAAAAGGAAAAGGGAGACTTTTAAAAAAAAAAAAAAAAATCCCGCTAAATAGCTATAAGTTTAACTTTCCAATTAATCATATATATTGCTTATTATAATTTGCATACAAAATCCATGGATGCAACTTTTTTCTTCTTCTATTTCTTTTGGTTTAGTCCTATAACTAGTTAAAAGTGCATTATTACTTTTTAAGTTATGAAAAGATTTTTTTTTTTACCATTTTTTCAGAAATGCTTATATATATATTTATATAGAGAAAGGAGAGATTCAAACCCAATTTTTTTTTATTTGTAAAAATATATGCATTAATTATTGAATCACATATTTAGTTCTAACTCATTATATTTTTGAACAAAATTACTAGTTAGATTTAGAAGTGTAAGGGTTAGGCTACCTATTACGACTTTATTCAAATTAACAAGATTGGATTTCATAAGCTAAATTATATTTTTTAACATAGTTTTATTTTATCTTAATTTTAATATATTAATATAAAATTATATTTATTATTTTAATAATAAAATAATAGATAAATGGGTTGGTTGAGCCAAGGTTAATTTTAGCTTTTAAAGGAGAAACTTGACCAGATCCATAGACACTTTTAGTTCGACATTAATTTTATTCAATTTCTTATGTGCAATATAAATTACAATATTTATCATAACGTGTATGTATGTTCGAGAATTTGATGGCACAAAAAAAAAAGTTGCTATCAATATTTTTGTTAGGTAATTGATCACATGAGTGAATATATATTTTTTTTAAAAATCTTAAATTTGACTAAAACTTTTTAAAAGAATATATTTTAATCTATATTTTAAAACTAAGTTCAAGAGGAATAATTTATTAGTATCCCAAAATGCTATCTAAAAATAATACCAATTAATTATATATTATTTTAAAATTCTTTTAGTGAAATGATTTTTTTATTTTATCTTTCTTTATTTTTTTTAATTTGGTATTTAAATGTCAAAAATTTTCTCAAGTCTTCTTTAATACTTTCATTTTAACTTAACAAAATTTCTCATCTCCACAATAATAATAAAAAATCACTTATTCTCTTCAAAAAGCTTTATCAACATATTAATTTGATATTTTATGAAAAAAATACTTACTTTTTATTTTTAATTCTACACAACCTTTATTTCATAATTTTTTAACAACCTTTATTTATATTTATAAAATATTTTTTCTTAAATTAATATTTTATTGAAAAGTAAATAAAAATTCTTTTTATTAGAATATTTTTAAAATCTTTTCAACACAAGAAAATTCCTCAAATAAAATTTCAAGAAAATCATCCTTGTGATTTCCTTCCAATTTCATTATTAGAAAAAAGTTTTATTTACTTCTAAAATTTTATAAAATGTAAATGACAAAAATAAAATTTCTTAAATTAATTATTAAATATTATATTAAAAATAAAAAATCAAAATATTCCCAAAATTCTTCCAACACTTTTGTTAAGATTTTCAAAAACCCATCACTTGTGAATTTTTTTTAATTTCATCATTTGGGAGAATTTTCACTTATTTTTAAAAATGAATTAAAATCCCATGATGTAAATAAAAATATAATAAAAAAAACTAAATTTGCAATTTATTTTTTGGCTAACTTATATGTTTTAGTTTTTAATTTTTTATGTTGTCAAATAATTAAAATGTTCTTAATTTAGAAATTTAAATATACATAAAATAAAATAATAAAATAAAATGAAGAAAATAAAGAAAAAAACATTTTAACACAAATGGATTAGTCTTAACTGTGTTGGCACACGGATCACAAGTGAGTTTGGTTCACTCAAAACGGTGTCATTTCACTCTTATTTAAATATTCAATTTCAGTTTTTAGTTTTCTTATTTTCTTCTCTTTATTCCTCTTTTTCTCTCTTCCTTCTCTTAAAAAAGATTTATTTAGTTTCTGTTGATTTTCTTGTGTTTGTTATTTGTAGCTTGCTGTTGATTCTTATCTTTTACAAAAAAAAAAAAAAATTAATCTCAATTCCAATAGGAGTCTAAATAAAAAGGAATTTCAATTCAAAAAAAATTACATATTATTTTTTTTGGAATATCAATTCAAAAAACAATATTTAAAAAGACCCAAACAAAATAAAATATCCACAATATTCAAAATCATATATATTTTTAATTATCAACTAAATTTTACACTTACATGCAATTACCCTACTATTTTATTTGAATTTGGCATATCTTTTTACTTTATATTTATCAAAGTTATTTACTATTTTTCTCAGCTTTTAATTATATTAAATTTTACATTGTTTTAAATATATATAAGTAATAATTTTACCGAATCTAAAATTTAAATTTTGATAAGGTATGATCAACACTGCCAAACCCTAAAAAGTGCCACGTGCAGTGTTCAAGTTTTTTTTTTTTTTTTACTTTTTCTTTTAAACTAGTTAATAAATTTTTTAAAAATTATGAAATACATATCTTTAAAGATTTTATTTTTTATGTGTGAGATCACTTATATCAGATTTAAAAATAAAAAAAAAATTAATAAATATTTTTTAAAATTTATTTTTTTGTATAATTTATTTGATACCAATAGTATGTTACGTTTTTTTTTTCTTTATTTACATTTTTATTTCTTTTTTTTTATATATTTAACAAATGATTTTTTTATATTTTATTTTTTGAGGGACCCAATTAATATCAAGAATATGTCACAAGTTAAGTTATTTGACTGCTTTTTTGGTTTTTTTTTTCTTTTTTTGCTATTTAATTTCCCTTTTTATAAAAAATATTTTAAACATTTTAAAAATAGAGCTCATTTGATGATTATTTAAAAAATAATTTTTTTGTTATTTTAAAAAAATTGATGATTTTTGAAAAAAATACTGATAGAGGTGTGATGTCAGATCCAGAATTTATTTTTTTCATTTTTTAGAATTTTTTAATACTTTTTTTTATTTTTTAAAATCAATTATATAATTTTTTTTTAAAAATATATTGCCAATTTATAGTGATATCAAAATTTTTTATTTTTTTATTTTTTTGATTTTAATTTAGTTTTTTAATTTATTTTTTTTTTTATATCATTTTTTGTGGTAAAAATGATAATGTGGAATTTATTTTTTTTTATTATTTATCATTTATTAATTAATCAAATTATTATTTAATATTTTAATTTAAAATTGAAATTTTAAATTCAATTAGGGTATCTATATAGTATCCAAGTAAACTCACTTCTTCTTTTTTCCTTTTTTATGCTTATTTTATTAAATTAAATTTGTTATAAAAAATAGGATAATTGAGATATCTACATTGTACCACATTTGTCCTTTTTTTGATTTCACCTTTTTTATAATTTTAATTAGATAAATTTTACAATAAAAGATTCTAATTGATAAAGTTGCCAAAACAATATGTATTGATGGATTTTAATCCATCCTAATTTGATAGAAAATTATTTTTTTAAATAGATATTGAGTTAAGATGTTTCTAACATTTTCTATAAGATATGACATTGAAGCTAAAGCATGTTTGAGGTACTTTCTTACAACTCATTTTGGGATATATATAAAAATATATATCTTATTATTAAATTAATTTTATATTTAAATATGTATTATATTAATAAAATTATTATTTAACATTTTAATTTTAAAAAATTATTATTTTAAACTCAATAAGGGTGTTCATACGTCACATTTTATGAATTTTTTTTTGGTTTTTTATAATTTAGATATCCATATATCACCCCTATTTGGTTTTTTTACTTTTCATCTTTTTTCTAATTATAAAATTTTTTAAAAAATAGTGAATAGATAAGGTAAAATAAAAAAATTTTTATTGGTAACATTTTTTTTATAAAAATAATACAATAAATTTCAATCCATCTCAATTCAATATGTGCAATTTTTTTTAAATTTTAGTATTAAATTAAGTCAGGTTCGTTTTTATATAAAAAAAATGAGAACAAGTCAAAAGTGAATTTATAGTTATTTGTTGGTTTATATAAAAATATATATTTTATTATTTATTTATTTTTATATAAATTTTATAAAAGGATAATTATAATCAAGGTGCCCACATGACTCCATTTATTTATTTCCTTTCATATTTTAAAAAAAATTTAATTAAATTAATTTTATAATAAATAAATTGATTGATAAAAATAATAAAATAATAAATTTTTAATAAATTTTTATTCCTCTCAGTTTAACATGATTCTTTGTAAAAGATTAGTATCGAATTAATCCAAGATAAAAGATTAATTTATATTCTTACGTGTCACCATTTAGATTTTTTTATATCTTTTACTTTTTTATTTTTTTAAAATTAAGTAACTTGTTTT